CACACACCTACCACTCTGTGTTGTACAAGCTCGACCAACTTTCCTGCTGCCAGAGAGGAGAAGCAGAAGGGTGGCAGTCCCAAAACAAGGTAGGAGCAAAACAAGAAGGGTGGCTCTCACATGAGGTGGTGACCAGAGGGACTTGTACATGTGGCTGCACAGTGGCCCCATGGACAGGTGTGTATCACAGTCCAAACACTTGAAAAATGCTCCTCGGTGGCATAAGGGGAAAGGAAAACAAGAGGCAGGTCAACATCAAGAGCAAAGGGAGATTGACAGGTTTCTTTCATCTGCTCCATTTGAGAACATATATGATGCTTTCCAGGGCTTGCAGATGTAGAAACAGAATTTATCTGCCACCCAACAGGTTATTTCAATTAATAAAGATGCGAGGAAATCTTCTATCAGATGTTTTTTAATTAAAAATGTTTATAGGGAGTTTTCACTAGAAACTGAAGTTGAAGCCTCACCTTTTTTTCATAAGGGATGATATTTTGGAAATGAAACATGTAAAAGGCTATAAATAGTGTAATTAAAAATTCCTTCTTCACTCAGCTCGTCAGCTTCTGAATTTGCACAAAATTTTAGTAGTGTTTTCAAGAATAAAACCAAAAATATCTCTGAATAGTTGCATGGCAAGAGAACAAAACAAAAAAACCAGACGGCACTCATAATATGAATAGAGTTTGATAGACAATAATAGGCACAATAAAATATATCAGTGAACCAAGAGATGAGGTAATTATAGATATGTTCATGTTATTTTAAACATTCATTTTCCATGAAATAGCAAGAGTAATTTTTCAGTCAGATATTCTTACTTGACTAAACTTTTCACTCCAGAATAGTGAAATAGCACTAATAGATAGCATGGCTCATCTTCCACAGCCTTAGAAAATCCCAGTAGAAAATATCAGGTTAAGTTCCACAGCCTATCTCAAATGAAAAGTAATGCTCTTCTAATGAGGGTTAATTATTTTCTTTTGCGGGACAGACAGTGAAGAAGCTGCTGCCCAGAGCAAGAGCTGGGATTCCCATGCTGGGCTCAGGCTCCAGAGGCTCAAATGCATAACAACCCACAGGAGGGACTTTTACAATCAAGTAATAGCACACCTTTGTTATCCCTGCAAACAGGCTGCTTGGTTTCCAAGAACAGAAAATGGATGGGGGCAGAAACTACAAAGAAGCCTGAATTTGCAAATGAGAGCAGGTCTGGGAAGGAACTACTTATATCCCAAGCTGTGCTTCAAACTAGTTTTGCTTTTTATTCTGTGAGTCTTCTGTGGGAAGAAGTAGCCCTTCTGTGAAAGCAGTGGGATTGGGAACTGCCCAGCAACCTGTGAGACCAGACAATACAAAATTTTGGAGCAAACTGGAATGGTGTGTCTAGAAGAAGCTTGACCATCTGCAGGCAACTCCATGCAGAAGAAAACATCTAAAGGTGGCAAATCAGACTTGGAATAAGTCATAGGTGAAACCTTCAAAATAATTAGAGTATCTCCAGCTTGAAATTACAAACACACTGAGTTGTACGTTTTAATATTGTCAAGTGGTCTCAAGACAGACAAACCGAAGTGTTAGCAACAAGCAAAAGCAAAAAAACACCAAACCAAAAAACACCTCCATAAACTTCCACATGAGAAAGATGATTCCCCCCCTCCATTTCAGTGTCTAAATATCTTTCTGAGTAGCTGTTTAACATATAATTTTGGCACCATATTAAAGACAAACATAAAAATACGTGCCTAAATTATATATCATAACTTGCTTTGTTCCTAAGTAATGTACTACAATGTAAGAAAAAAAAGAATTGTTAATTAATACTGCTCACTGTGTTACAGCCTGACTGATGAAGGGAAATGCATTCAGACTCCTAAAATGCCGGTCTCCAAGACCATCAGGGTTAGTTTCTGAGTGGCACGTTTTTAAAACATTTAATCAGTGATCTGAATATGTGTCAACACTTTCTGGTAGCGTGCTATAAAATGTGAACCTTGTCAACAGAAACATAAAAAGGCGACACACTTGGGACACAGAGCTTTTATGCTGACACACTGTAATAATATAATTTTAAAATTTATCATCTGTTTAGCCACAAGCAACAATTAATCTTTTAACTAATCACACAATGTTTTAAATAACACCTCCAAAAAAAACCACCCCCAAAACCCAAACATGTTTCATTTTTACTTTCCTTGCCTTCACAATTGTGTTGCTTTCAAAACCTTATGAAGCAACACGCAATAAATTTTGCAACGAGGATAAAAATGTTAGCGAATAATATGTTTCCCCCTCCTCAGTTAATAAAATTACTTAACACTGAGCCTGCAAGCAAAAAGAAAACCCCAGGAGTAACGCAAGCCTCAGCGGGTTCAGTTCTGTCGTGTTTCTGTCGCATTAAGTGACATTTTATTCCCAAATCACTTAACCTTTGACTTTTATAACTAAACATACAGACCCTGAATTGTTACTGAGGAGGGGACCAGCTAGTGACACTGCTGCCAGGCACTGAAACCCCGCAGTAGTGGGCAGCTACAGGATGGAATTTGGCTCACAAGAGCCCAAGTTTCACTCCTTGTCACCTGGAAAAGGAGGCAGAAAGGGAAATGGGATAAGGGGAAATGTTTCTGCCAGTGACCTCCATGTAGCACCAGACGCATGTCCCCAGAGACCTCAGGTACTGGACCTCAGGTATAGTTTTCACAGTGTTCCCACCACTGGTGCATGTGCCAGGCAAAGAAAGGGTTAATAATCAGGCAGAAGAAGGAAAAAGCCACTTTATAATTAAAATGCAAATCTTGAACCCAGTTGGAGCAGCATGAGGAATAATGTCAAATCATACAGATAATTTTGGAAGGATTTTGTGCAATAAAAGCACAGATAATCATACATGTATGTTCGTGTAAGCATGTTCACATTAATAACCAGAAAAAGTGAAGGCATCTCTTGCTTCATCTCCAAGACTCTGACTGCCTCCTTCTGGGTGCAGAGGAGCAGGGAGACACAACCATGCCACTGAACATGACTCCATGACTGGACAAATACAGTCGCATCTGAGAGGTTAATTTTTCTTAGGAAACAATCATGATGGCAGAGTCTATTAAATTGTATGTCTAGCAACTAAGAAAGCTTCTGATTAAACATGCAATCACATTAATAACTTTATTTTTCCTTGCCCAGTGGCAGAGGGCTTTGTCCTCTGCTCTTGTCCACATGAGAGACTTTGCTGGTGTGACATATGTGATGATGTGAAGGCAAGGGGAGGAACCCGACTGCCAAATTTAGTAAGGTACTGAGTCATTCATGTCAGGATTTAGTTTCCAGTCACATCCTTGTAAACTTATGGTTTTTCATTAATGATTTTCATCAACAGGATGGAACAAAAAAAATTAAAATCTTCTGGGCTAAATATGGGTCAGTTCCCACCATACTTTAATTCTAAAGGAGAGTGGTATTTTCTTCTCCTGAGAGTGTAATTGCAGGAATCCATCAACTGTAGAACAGTGGACTCCAGACAGTCTGTGAAAATCATCCCAAATACAAGTTAAGAAAACTACATATTAATTACTTATGACTGATGTCTCTTTAGAGAATGGATCATCTTCCCAAATAATAAATATTTGGTCTAACACGAGGGGGCTTGCTCTGTGGTTAGAGATCTTTTACACTCCAGGAAAAAGCATGTTGAAGTTGTATCTTGAATTAATGCCTAGTTTGGAAGTCTGAGAACCAGCAAAGGAATCCTCAGCTGTAGCCATTATCATCCAAAAGAAACTAACTCTTAAAATCTATTTAATGAGGGGAAGTTCTTCGTGGCATGAAACAGGGACACATGCTTCTTGCAATGCACTCTTCATTTTACAGCATGCTCTTAATTAATTGCAACATTATCCACATTCTACATTTCAAAAGGCAAATGTACAGGTAAGGGTATCAGAAAACAGAAATGAAACAGAAAACATAGCAAATATAAATGTGATGACTGACATGTTAGTAGAATTGTTGTGAGATGGATGGATGAGTAATGACAT